TCAGCTTCAGGTGTACAGCGCAGTGGTCAGGCACCTACAAAATCTGGCAATTCTTACTCATTCAGGATCTTAAAAAGTAAGTAAATAAATATAAATATGATTTAAATTTCTTCTCTAGGCTAAATTTCTTGAAGGCAGAAAGTAGACCTTCACTATAGCCCCTGGAGCTAGCACAGTGCCCAGTACAAAGGTGGAGCTCAAACATTCAGTGACTGAGGAGAAACATATAGATAGTATCTTTAGATAGCTCTGTCCCCAGGCCCATATAGCTATAAGACTAGAGACACAGGTTACAATGAGGCTATAGATAAAAAGAGATATGAATTATCTTGGACCAGATCAGAAGTAACATTCAACAAATTAAAGCCTTTTCAAAACTAATATGACCTAACAAGCACTCTGTATCTGTCTCTCTCTCCCCAAAAGAGATAACTACCATTAATATCCCCATTTGTTAGATGCAAAAACCAAAACGCAGTAATTAATTTGTCTTAGTAAGTGACCGACCAAGGATAAGAACCCAGGCACTCTGAATCCAGAGAATGGGACCACAGTCACTCCATGCTATTTTTGCTCCACTATCTCCTATCATTCAAAGCAATGATCTAAACCAGAAGTCACTTTTCCAAAGGGCCAGATAAATTTACTTCTTCATTTATATTTTTTTCTACCTCCAATAGTCCTCACTGTCAACTAGGCCCAAACCTGATGATATAATTTCTGTCTTTCTTGTCCTTCATATCACAGAACCCTATAAATCCTGACCTTAGGATAACTTTTACATCTACCCTTTCCTTTCCGTTTCCACTGCCCCTCCTCCCCTTTCTTACAGTCTCCCAATTTTGTTCAGACATTCAATTGTCCTCTGCTTCAAGGGAAGGAAGCCTTCCCCCTGCCCTGAGGGCGGTGGGCGGTAGTGAATGCCGAGTAGGCTAAGAAGAGGTTTTAACAATATCTGTACGGGGGATCACCTGTGGGTCTTTTTAAAAATACCATTACCTGGGCCCAGCAATGTTTTTAACAGCTCTCAGGATGATTCTTATGTTGCAGGCGTGGTGAAGGACCACTGGCCTAAGATAATCATGGTAATCCCATTCCGGAAACAGTTTTCAGTTGACAGTTTGTCCCCTCCCCAACTAAACCACAAGCTCCTAGAGGTCAGAGCACGTGTTTGTACCTGACACCAGGCTTCACATAAAACGCTGTTTGCTAGTTGACTGATAGGTCTTATAGCAATCCCAATTACTTTTCTACTAGACACTAAAATGCAGCTAAATTATAAAACATATTCACTCTCCTCCACTTCATCTTCGTTTTTTAAACATTTAAATTACAGAGAAATGCATTATGGGAGAATACCTGACAATTCCTTTGGGCAAAGGGCAATAATGAGATCAACCCAAGTCAAGTTAATCATAGTGAGGACAGAACTACTTATCAGGAGTTCTCTTCACCCTCTGCCCCTTCCACCCTGCGAGGCTAAGCTTTCCTCATCACAAGGGACAACTCCACAAGGTAACCATTACGAGCCAAATAAAATACCCCCGGAGCAATCTGTCCACCTTTTACTGTGACTCTGCATATGTAGTAACTGATTTCTTCTACTCTTTCTTCTTTTCCTTCCTTTCCTTCCTTCCTTCCTTTTTTTTTTTAAACTGGGGAACAGTGTGTTTTTCCAGGACCCATCAGCTCCAAGTCAAGTAGTTGTTTCAATCTAGTTGTGGAGGGCACAGCTCAGTGGCCCATGTGGGGATCGAACCGGCAACCTTGGTGCTATGAGCACTGCGCTCTAACCAACGGAGCTAACCGGCCGCCCTGTAATCTTCTTTCAATACTGTGAATCAAACTACCCTATCCCTGAATGCACCTCCAAGGTGAACTAGCAGCCCTCACCCTTCAGATCCATCAACCACCCCCATTCTGTCCTGCCACCAACTCACAACCATTTCCAAGCATAATTTGAAGGCTGCTACCAAAACAATTTTCTCTTTAGTAGCAGAAACCTCTTGGTGGATGTTTTGCACAGAAATGGAAGAAAACTAAGCAACATATAAACACTATACTTTCACTGCTTTTTTTTAACCTAACACTTCATCTTAGAGATCATTCCATACCCACACATAATGAGCTGCTTTATTCCTTTTTAATGACTACATAGTATTCCATTGTATAAATTGGTCATGATATACTTAACTAGTGCTCTATTACTGAACATGTTATTTCTAATCTTTACCTTTGTACCACACTTCGACAAATGATGCTCATACACATGGAATCTTCCAGTACCAAGATAAACTCCTACAAGAGGACTTACTGAATTAAAGGTTATATATTTTAAATTTTTGATATAGTCAAATAGCTCTCCACAGAGGTTATACCAATATCTGTGGATAATTTTAAACACCACCATCTTTTCAGTGGCCCTCAACAGCAGCTGATAGCAGTGCTTTCTCTCAGGTTCAAGGGCCTCACCATAGCTCAATGCTTTAGTCCATTCTATACCAGACAACCCACAACCAGGAGGACCCCTACTCTCATGCTTCTTCACTAAGCAGTTCTAGATGGTGGCTACCACAGTGCCTTATCCAGTCCAATGCTTACCCAAGTACTAATGAGCAGAGTCAGCCCAGCGCTACCCTGGATTCAAATGCCTACTGGGGAGGGCTCAGCTGTTGGATAGCCAGGAGATGACCAAGTTCACAGGATCTAGTACAAGATACACGGCAGCTAGAAGTGAATATGTGTAGAATGCTGAAGGAATAATCCTAAGGGGTAGGCAGTATTATAAGCCCCATTATTGACAGACACGGAAAATTCGGCTCTGCAATTTTGCCCAAAGTAACAAAGCTAGTCAAGAGCTTGATCTACTGTAGAAGCTGGACCTTAAGTTTCATTGTCTTTTCATTGTGTCTCATTGCCTTGTTAAAAAGCCTATACCACATGAATGTTCTGGAAGCCAACAATCAAAGACATACATCAGAGATATTTTCCCCATTAAGTAAATGCATTTCATAGAAAAGCCACAGGTATCCGGAAAGGTCTGCTGGACACGAGGTGCAGTGATTACAAGATGACCGCTCATAAGTTCACTTCAAAGTGACAAGCCTAATATTAAAACTACCCATTCTGACAGGAAATCATTTTGCAAGTGCCAACAGCTAGAAAACAGGGCTGTAAAGGCTTGCTAAATTCATTAATAAGGCAGTCTACAGTTATCTGATTTCACAGCAACACCTGCATATTTATCTACTCATTACCAATTGGATGATGGAATTTTTTCAAGCACATTTCAAAAATCTGCCAACTTCAAGTGTAAAAAAATAAACTTTGTGGTTAATTTTTCCTTTAACAAAGTACAGCTGTTGAGAATAATTGTTCAAGATCTTACCCTGTAATGTCAACTGCAGCAGAACAAAGAGTATTTAATTAGCAAATCTATCCAGTAATTCAACACCTATTATATAAAATGCCTTCGTGATTTTATTCAGGATAATTTGCTAAGAGGGTTATTACTGACATTCAGATGGAATTTAAAATTCCTACGCAAGTCGAGTCATAATAGCAGTAATGATCTCCCCAATCAGGAGATTCGGTGTCACACAAGGCTCTCTTGCAATGCAGCAGCCGATTTCCTGACTTCTTAATTCCTGGGCTCAGCTCAGTGAGAGCCCTTCATGCCGATATTTCAGTCAGCAATACATCCTTAATGGGACTCTATTAAAATAACTAGAACAAAAATGACTTTTTTTTTGGTTAAAAAGAATGACAGCACTGCCATCATATCAATCATTGCAGGCTTTGCAGAACAGTACCGTT